AGGATGGCGGTAGAGGCAGAGACCATACTGGACAGCCCGTCAGCCCGTCTCACTGCCGTAGCCGTCAGCGTGAGGGTGGGACATACAATCGCCTTCCTGGGAGACTCCAAGGGGAACCTGCACAAGGTAACATGGTGTCACTGATTTCCTGCACACACCAAAAATCACTCACAAGGTATACTTTGTTTATGTGCTAGCTGTGATGTTATGCAGGGACTGTGCTGTTATTTCTGGAAATATGAAGTAATAGTCTGGCATACTCGACAACTTGTGTCATTATTTGAAGTTCAGACCTTATTTGGTTCTCATATAACTGTAACACCTGTCCCTGAACAGATATGGTAGTCAACCAAGCGGACATCCAATTTCTCTGTTCACCTCCAGACACCGGCCGCTCTCTATTCTCCTGCCAGCCAGTGAAGGTCTAAAATAGTCTCAGTGTGTAGAGGCAGGCAGGCAGGCTGGACTCATAACTCAAGATGTACCAGGACTCTGCTCCTGATATTATTTCTGGAGAGATGTTTCTATCTTGTTAAAGGACTGCACTGAGATTTTGGTAAATTTTCTGTCCAACTCCACTCATCCAGTAAATGATGAGAACAAGGTTATATCATGCGGCACATAAATTCCTAAGTTTTGAAATTGGATGTTTTTAAGTCTTTATACCTAGTGTTGCAAAGTCTTTTTAGAACTTTTATAGGCGTACGTCTAGATGTTCACATGCTTATTCATCACCCACAACCTTATCTGCTTGTAGAAATAGGGCTGTTGCTTAATTTTGCTTTATTGCGTTAATGCTGTCCCTCCTAGATTGTTATGTAATATTCGGTTATATTATAACAACCTGCAAATAACATGTAGACTTTTGTTAATATCTTCTCTGGTTCCAAACAATTGATATTAATACTGTTTTACAAAAAGCTACATTACAGTATTTTGCTTTAGAGCTGTTACCAAGGCCTGATTTACCTGTAAAGGGGCTCAAGGGCAGAGAGGAGCCGTGGGCCTCTGTTGGCCCCCCAGTTGACAGTTGCCCACTTTGTACAGCTGGAATAAAGTTTTTATTTTCATCTTTAAAATAATGCTCATGCTAAGCTAGAATGTAGCTTGGAATTCTTGGCTTATTTCAAATTGATTTATTGGCGATGTTCTGATACCACTTCTTCTGTCTCAATACCTATTCTAATACTTTAACTTTGCATATCGACATGAAAAAGTTTGTGACGTGTATCACATTTTTCTTGACAATGGATTTTTAGTCATTTCGGAGGCTGTTAATTGTGGTAGTGTTGAATTTGATTTGATTTGATTCAACTTTATTGTCATTGTAAGTACAGGTACAAACCAACGAAATGCAGTTAGCATCAACCAGAAGCGCAAAGTAGTTTATAAATGTACAGAAATATGTAAAGAAAAAGTATAATAACATTATAGATTTATAATACATTATGAACAATATTAACATAATAAATATATACGGCAATAAATTAAGATATTTACAGTATGAGATTGAGACAGGAGGAGGGCAAACAGTTTGTGTCCTGGGTGGGAGGTGTCCCTGGCAATGCTGCGTGCCTTCCGCAGACATTGCTTGCTGTGGACAGCCTCAATGGTGGGGAGAGGTGAACCGGTGATGTGCTGGGCAGTTTTCACCACCCTCTGGAGAGTTTTCCGGTCGAGCAGTTTCCATACCAGACTGTGATGCAGTTGGTAAGAATGCTCTCGATGGTGCAGCAGTAGAAGTTCACCAGAATCTGAGGAGACAGCCTTCTTGAGTTTCCTCAAGAAGAAGAGACGCTGGTGAACCTTCTTGATCAGGGTTGAGGTGTTCAGGGTCCAAGAGAGATCTCTGTAGTCTTCATTGTACTTGTTCACCGCTCATATTCTCCAGTGTCCATACACTATAAAGAAAGCACAAATCCACTTTGGTCAACTGCTCACCATAATGCAAAGTTTACAGTGTAAGAGTGGTTGTTGTGTCTCCTCAAATTTGTTAAGTGTTTTCATGTTAGTCCTTCCTGTTTTATTTTGTACTCACCTTTTCCCTCACTGTTCAACCCTGACTTCCTCCCTTTGTGTGTTTTCCCGCCTTTGTAATTGTCTGCCCCACCCCTGATTGCTTTCACCTGTTTCCACTCTCACAAGGTATAAATAGTCCTTGTCTCCCTTTTGTCTTCGTCAGTTTGTCTTGTTTCTCGTCAGTGAGTATTGTCAGGTATTGTAATCCAAGTTATTCCATGTACCTACCAAAGTTAGACTTTTTGTTTGCATTTTTGAAATCCTCCTAGAGAGCGCCTTTTGTTGAGAAAATAAATATCTTTTTTTTCCAACTTCGTCTGTGCCTGAGTTGTGCATTTGGGTCCACCTGTATAGTGTCAGAGGTTGTGACAGTGGTCCTTTAATGCGTACCTTTTTTCACTCAATGTAAATATATATATTTTTTTAACTCTCCCACAGACTCAGGAGGAAGTGGCTGCACACAACTTCTGTCAGCAACACGTTCTCACTCCCAACTCGTCAAGTACTGCCGCCTGGTCAGTGGCCCTATGCTGTAGATATCCCTCTAGCATCATTTCTACAGATACACCAAGCTCAGCAATAATAAATACACAACCTCCGGTTAGACTTTCACAATAAAAGCCTACTAGGAAACATCAGGTTTAAGAACAAAAACTACTTGTTTAGGTTTCGGAAGTAGTTCGTAGTTTGGGTTCAAATAAGTATGTTAGGTAACATTAGTTACTTTATGTACATACGTAATGGAATATAAGTAAAAAAGAAGTTAACGCTCACTAGTCTCACATACAGTGCTCTCCAGTGCAAGGACAATCACATATTTCCAAAGATGTTGGAGGAACAAGTTTGGTTCATAGAACTGCAGGTGCCCGGTCAGCCAAGCGAGGTCACTAGGAAGTGACGAGACTGATGAGTTCAGCTCTTCCTCTATTAATCCAAACTGAGTCAGCTATGTTACAACCTTGTTGGGACAATTAGTCAGAAAGCACAGCCGGAACTTGTACACAGGATGTACAACTGCACTATGAACATGTGGCTCTACTGCATGTACCCCCCCTTTATTAACTATTCTAATACCACAAACACTCTTATATGAATGCTGTACATATGTTTTATTAAAACACAACATTAAATGTGATCTCACCTTTTCATTAAAGGAATTTGGTGACTTGGTTCCTGTGGGGATCATTTTGATCATTGTAGCCCTTGTTTGTGATCCAGTCAGTTATGGTGGTAAGATGTTTCTCTGTCATGGCTCCCTTGGGCTGAAGCTTGTTGTACCAGAGCTTAACCATCTTTGTACTGTGTTGCTGAAAACTTTTTTCAAAAATCTCAAGCCTGGTTTTACTTTTCTTGTTCTGAAAGTCATTTAAGTTCTTTGTGCTATCTAACCTGAATCTGGGCATTGAGCCAAGGATAGTCTCTTTGAAGGTGCCTACAACATCATCATTGCTTATGGTTTTAGCTAAGTGTCTTCTAAAAGCTTCTGATCTTGTACTGAGAAAGTCAAGATGTATTTCTTTAGGCACATTAACAGCTGGAAGTTCACGGCCATGATTGTCTTTCACTTTCTGAATCAAGTTGTTATCCGGATTGGATGAGTTTGTTGCCACTTCAATTATGGCTTTTGATAGTACGCCTTCCGGGTTCAGATATACAGAAACCAATATACTCTGCACTGGTGGCTGGTGATCTGCGTGGAGGAATTGTCCTTTTCCTGGATTTTGATTTCTATCTTTTGTGAAGTCTTTGTATAATCCCATTTTTCCAACCTCTTTCTCAAGTGACTTTATGGATTCTTTTATCTTCTTTTTCTCTTTTCTTGCTGCTCCCTGTCCCATGTACCAGTCCCCTCCTCTGATTTCTTCCGTCCAGACTTTGCGTTTGACAAAAGGTTCCCATCGGCCTGGTTCACTGAGGAGAGTGTCGGCCACCACAGATCGGAAGCGGTTTACTTCCATAGCAATCTCTCCTTTACTGGCCTCTGGTTTCATGCCTCGTGCCAAAGCATGAAACAGGCAACCTTTGTCCCTATTTTCTATGCTCACTGTCTGGTTATTGATCTGCACATCATAATGGCCGTCTGGGTTTTGGTCACTCTTTGGTCTGTAGATCAGTGTCACAGTTTGACTGGCGGGTTTAGTGCTTGGTCTCAGCTCCTGCATTTTGGTAAATGTACCATGGCTATCCTCTGTTAGGATGACAACCTTGCCGGTGGTTTCTGACAGGACTCTGATATCAAGAATGGTACCAGCAGTCTTTGGGTCCTTGATCTTTTCAGCATGTGACTGTGAGTGTTCACCTGTCTGTCTTTCAAGGTTATGTTTAGCTTTTGGCATGTATGCGATGTATCTGTTGTTCTGTCCAGCTCTGAGTTTTTCTTCTGTTCTGTCAATATTTAAGCCAGATCTTACATTATTGTGAATTAAGCCATTTACTTGGCTTTGAACATGAGAAACAATGTGACTGGAGAACTTCTGGTGGAACACTTCTACCAGTGCATCAGCCAATAAAGCACTGATGATGTTGGCTAAATCCTGTTTGAATTCTTTCAGTAGCTCTTTGTCTGAAGCAGAGAGCTCATTTATGTTCAATTTCTCTGAAAAACCTTTTCCTCTTTGAAATTCATTCAGCTGTTCATGAAGGTTGGAAAAAAACTTGCTTGAAAGGCTGAGTGCTGCACCGATCGCGTCTAATGCCAGTGCCTCCATGTGGGTAATTTGGATCAATGTTAGAATTTCAAGTGTTGTTCCTTTAGCATTTGCTTTAGCACTGTCCACCACTGTGGAGAAGGATGAGTTCAGCTTGTTCTGCCAGCTCAGGTTTGCATAGAAAGGCTGTATTGCAGTGTTACTTAACTTTCTGAAAATGTTCAGCAGTTCATTCTTTCTGTTCTTGTCCTCCAGAAGATCATGAAGTTGCTTTTTATCCTCAAGGTGTGAGAGGATAATCAGGTCTACTAATGTAATCAGGGACTCTCTTTTGGATTTCACTTCCTGAACAATTCTCTTTTACACCTGATCTTTGATGCTGTTTAGTATTTCAGTCAGTATTTTATTTTCTACCTTCCCAACTCCATACATAGTGACTTCCTCAACTATTTTTTTTGC